ATTGTCAAAAATTATTCCCAATATTTTCAAAGTGTCAGAATAGTGGATAGGGGTGTCATACACGGAAAGGGTTGGATGTATACATTTGTGTTTTCTGCATATGTGAAAAACCGAAATCTTAGCTCCTGAAGATCTTGCCTTACCAATTGCGGCAAGTCCTTAGTCTTAGAAAAAATATAATGGAGCTAACTTACCCAAAGGCTATATTGAATAAAATAACCAAAAGTGGTGATCCTTGTGGGGCATCATTAAAGAGAGGAACAGTATTTGAATAACAGTTATTGACCCGAACAGCGAACTTCCGGTTGTAAAGGAAAGACTTAACAGGATGCCCCACCATTTTTCCGGAGTAATACTTTAGATATGCAAGGGAGGAGGGAAATGGGTCTGTAGTTAGAAACTAATGAATTGTTTCTATTTAGTTTGCCAATAGGAATAATAATAGCTGCGTTTAATGACTCTATGTTTGACGGGATATGGAAGATTTTTTTGTTGTATCAAATTTGGTTTCGGTTGGACAGTTATACCGCATTAGGTAAAACTAGTTAAGCCTGGGCAAAACTAGTTTGACCTAAGATCGGATTTTACCAGTAACATACATACACATGTAACTTACCTGCTACAAAAGATTAAAAAAAGCAATTTTCTAGCAAAATTGTGTAGATAGAGGGTTTTGCTCTTATAACAAAATGTTATTTCAGATAGTGGAATTTTCAAAATGAGAATATAATACCATTAAAACTATATTTTAAGTTTGACATTATTGTCATGGCTGAAAGAATAATCGGAGCTTACGTTACCATCAAAAACTCATTTTCATCAAAATTGCAAATAGAGGGTATTGAATATAAGCCCTCGATATATGAAATCAAGCGCATACTCATGGAGAAAAATTGAGCCTATTGCAAAAGGGGTGTACATCTCCCATACAAACCGAATATTTTAAGTGAAAACTTCTTAAGCGGCGAGAGTGTTTTGAGACTCGATGAAACGAAAAACGTGACAAAAACAGAAAAAACAATACGCATTTGTATGTTCTTTGCATTTAAGTGTGTAGTTATATAGAATTCAAACGAACCCTGTGGGGAAAATCTCTAGTTTTGAACTTGTGCGCTTCTAGTACATTTAGAACCACTACTAGTTCGCGATAAATCTCTTTTGCATGCAAACAACTGGCGAATTTAACACAGCGATGTCATAGGAATTGGAAATTGTCCCCCCTGCATTACCTTTTATATAGTTCAGAACCAGTCCTAAATTCGAAATATGGGATCTAGTTCGCTTTACAACCCATTTTCTATAGTTTCGAACCAGTTGTAAACGAAAAAAGTAACAAGATGTTTTCTTTTTGGGTTACCATGGTAGCAATTTTAAATTTTTTGCAGAGAAATGTATTTTCAATCTGAAATCAAATTTGTTTGAATGAATGTAAATTTAATTTTGCATTTGAAAACACGTTTACATACCTTTGGCTGTGGCTGAATTTGCAGAGGTGCTGACTGTTATTGTTTTTTAAAAGTACCACATATCGCCGCTTTTGAGCTGGTGGCGATCTAGTTACTATCGGACTGGTTCGTTTTTGGCGATAAAGATCTAGTACGGAACTATAAATTTGGTTCACCAGTTCGGGGTTTCCCTACAGGGAAGTATCGAAGTCAAATTTAAGAGATTTTGTTTTTGTATTCGCTTTTATTGTCGCTTTGCCGGCGGCTTCACTTCCAGCCATACGTACATATGTACATATTTATGTACGTACATATGTTAAGCTAGCCAATACGCGTTTGTGTGTTTATGTGCCGACGTAGATTCTATGTGCGTAAATAAGTCAGCGCATAGAACAGTAATGAAATTGATGGTACAATTGTACTTTTTTGATACATTTTGGATCCCAAAAGTACATTGGTACTACATCGACATTTTTGATACAATTTTGTCAAAATACAGCATTACGACAAATTATGTAGAAATACGACTTGTGGATAAAAATGCAGTCATCTTTTTCCTACTTTATACAGGTATGTGCGTGGTGTTTATTAAAAATTAAAGACTTTTTAAAATCATCAAAAAGTTCTTGCTATAATATAAGCAACTGTTTCTTTGTGTTGCTCGCACTTAATAAACATACTTGTATGGTTTTGTTGATTAACTTGAATTATTGATTATAATGGAAATTTAGGGTTTTCATGGCCTTTTTAAACTATGCATATGTACAAGTACATATAACGCTACGCATCCAAGTCCACGGACGAAATTTTTCCAGATTTTTGGTGCAGTACACACTGGCCGAACCAAAAAAAAAGGTATTTAATATTAACGAGTAAGGCTTAATATTTCCGGAAAGACACCCAGTTTTTTTATAAAAAAAAACACTAAAAATAAGATAATAACCAATGCCTATTTATTGCTTCAGGGGTTTCAATGATTTCCTTAATTTTATATTTTCGTGAAATTAGAATTTTAGAACAAAAAAAAGTGAAATATTTCCAGAAGTTCACTTTTAGGTGGAAAAGGATTTTTTATTTAATTGTCTTGTTTCTCCAAAAGTGTTCAAATGGCATATATGGGAAGTTGTTGCTGACGAAAGATTAAACAAAAAAACCTGCCTCCCAAGAAAAACGTCACGTTAATGTCTTGAAGAAGGCGCAAAAAATCTCCAACATTGACTTATCTGATAAATGAGTTTAAAAGTGATATGCAAATGTTACATTCTGGAAAATATTTTACAAAAATGCAAAAATAAGAACTAAAATTAATTTTTGAAAAGCATGAAAGCAGTTTCGTATTCGCGTCAGTAAACGATTTTAGAGGATAAGATTATCAATCTTAAAAAAAACTATATAAAAAACCTGCCATGAACACTTTGTTTGAAAATTACCCATATTCATATGTCTGTCTAGTCTTTTAAATTTTGGTACTTTTTCGGCTGATTTAGTATATTCTTTTTGTCCATTTGGTACAAAAATTAAAAACTCATTTATCATCCCTGGCATAGAATTCAAGCGAAGGGTTGAAGTCAAATCGAAGTAATTTTGTTTTTGTTTTCTTCGCTATTCTCGTCGCTTTGCCGGCCGCTCACATGTATGTATGTTTGTACGTGTATTAAGCAGTGTTGCCGGAGAAAAATTTCGTTTGGAGCTAAAACGGTCGAAATAAAGAGCTAAAAAGAGCTTGATAATACTAATAGTAGCTAAAATGAAGAGCTACATATTTTTGTCAAGGTTGAGCATTTATTGACGTAAGGTTTTTCTTACATATTCGTCAATTTTAATAAAAACAACGCATTTTATAAATTTAAGTGCTGAAAAAAATCTCTTAAAACCAAAATAAGATGCATATATTTCGAGTTCGTTGCTATGGCACTTATAACAGTGAACTAAAAAT